AACACACACCAAGGAACTCTATAGGCCGCGATATTCTTTGAATATTCAGGTCTTTGTTCCCCCGAGACAAACACGACACCGTCCATAGAATTTGTCAACCGGAAAGAATGCTCATTAAAAAGCGACAAAACACTTGCAAAAAAGAAGACAACTAAAAAACTAACAATGAGTGAAGGAATACTCAGTTTCAAAAAAACGTACTTTCGGAATGGTCTTGGAGCCGACGCGTGGTGAAGCGCTCTGGTCTATGACTTTCTATTGGCATGCTTCATTTTTAAGAGTCGATCCCGAGTCTATCCGGATTAAAAAAGGTGCATTTAGTAGCAAAGCGGCTGCGAAAACGAAATTGAGCACCTCTGCTAAACTGCCCCAGAGTCGAGGAAATTCCGGACTGGCAGCCCCAAAGAGAAAAACCCGGCCTAACTACTGGGGCCGGGTTGACAAATTACTCCAGGCGCGAAACACAGCAATAAGTAATTTGACCTATTGAAAAAGCATCTTTTGTCGGTGCAAAAGAATTTTAGCCATGCAAATCGACGCGGCAAAAGTCGGAGTACTGGGCAAAAAAAAATAATTCTTTGGGGCTTCGGAAGTGAGGGTCGAAAAAGGCCAGACAGTAAACGGTACCTTTACGGAGGCCGAACGATACCTGAACTCAGGTCAGACACGGAAAGCAAGTAGCCTTGAAAAAAGATGGCTCTTCGTCGTCAACTCTCACATCACACTACATGCGTTGGCACCCAACTCGACAATAATACCGAACAAATTTGGATAAATTGGGAACGCGCTGGAAGCTAAGCAACTGCCAAGAAAACAAGGATCAGATCAAATGAAATGCTACTAAAGATACCTTAAACAATAGGACAGACTACTGCCACATGCACAGCACCGAAACCGACTGGATACACTATCCGACATGCATTCTGGAAATTCGGTCAGTGCAAGACCAAATTACAATAATTGTGGCACGGCACCCCTGAGCAACTGCTCGCCAATTTCTGGATGGGACAAATTAAAATGATGATCAGCCCAGGAGCACAAATTACGTAGAGCTCAGATTCGCTTCTACACCTCCTACACTCCACTGGATAGCTCCGCCGCCAGCATTGGAATTGAGCGGCTGCAACACCACCACAAAATGATACTAATGAGGAGACCTTAAGCAGAGCGATGACCCAATCAGTCTCAAATACGTAAGGACTCTAAAGGATAGAGGTTCAATTGGCTCAATTAGTACCGGATCACACCGCGTAACCTTTACTGGCTACAAAGCTACAGTATGGATAAAGGCTGGATTAAGCGGTGGTAAAATGCCGCCTAAATGAATTCATGAAGATCCCATTAATAGCATCAGCAGCTCCCTGAACGTAGGGTTCGTGCGGTTAATCGAATTTTAACATTTTACGCGCATCCCGCAAACCCATCGTTTGCGATCTGATGCAAAATCCAACGATTGTAAATTTAATTGCCATGGCCAGCCTGCTAGAACGAGTCATGGCGTTGTCCCTCTCCTGCCAAAATACGTCCGCCCCTGCGCGCAATTTTCCTGAATGAAGATAAAATACCGGAACAAAGCTGCTACGTTGTCAAGCTCCAGTAAAAAACGCCCTAACGTACGACCGGAAATTGAAGAATGGTGCAAGCGGAGCCCGATCCGGACGTCGATCGTAAGTGCTATTGGGATCGACGGGGTTATTTTTCTGGCAGAAAGTTCATTATGTTAAAATTTAGTTGGCGCAACCTGAAAATTTGCTAAGCGTTTAAGGTGAACAAATTTGGCTAAATTCAATTGGATAAAAGGAATTAAAAAAATTAAATTGTCAGAATAATTTTTGGCAGAGCGAATTTCGAAATGGTAACGAAGCTCGATTCGTCGCGTCGCGATACTTGCGGTTCCATAACTTATTCTTTAGCTAGAAGATTCCTTTAAGCTTCACGTCCTCAACTCGTTGCGTCAAAGTATGCATTTAGGCACGCACGATTCACGTGGATTCATTGCAACGTGCATGACTGACTCACAATCGATCAAGGCACCGAACGAGACGGAAAAGGTGCGCGAGTTTTGGACTTGCACATGTGTATACGATTAATAATAAATTTTTGGGCAAGACTTTATTCCCCCGGCCACAGCCGGAGCTCTCAAAGTTTTCGGTATTTTCGCTTCTTTTGTCGGGATTTTTGCAACGCCATTCGATAGAGTGTCGGAAAATATCCCAAGAGTTTTAATTTGAGCCTACAAAAATGCAAAGTCAAAAAGGTATAGCCAAAACTTTCGGCGGGGGGCGGGGCGTAAAGTAAAGTGTAGCCAGCTTAATGATAAACGCTTGGCTATTATTTTTCGAAACCGACACAAAAACACGAATTCAGAAGGGCGTCTACAAAATCGCCAAAAGCGTGATGTTACGAAACGCTATCCGTGGCCATGTGCTATGAAAAAGTTGGAAGGGAGGATCACTTCTGCCAGGCTCGTTGGTGTTTTTGTTTGTTTTTTACTTTGAATTAAAGAGTGGTATCGAGAGTTTGTTTGTCGAAAAGTAAAAAAATTAGTGCTGTCGAAAACGACCGTGTCGCTTTGTCGACAGCTCTTTGTCAAGAGATTCCACTTTGTCGAGATTTCAGGCTTCCGAGACCCCGAAACAGGTAGAAATTCATAGTTGATCTGCAATTGCCATAAAACAAAATTATAATAAATTAATTGTCGACAGAATAAATCTTATAATTTTGAAGAAGGTGTAACTAAGCGCCTTTCAATAGTTTTTAAAACTTTTCCGATTCTATACTAATTACCTCCATTTAAGGTCCCTTGCCCTGACGTCGAGCTCTACAGAAGCTGTGGCACTGTTATGCTCCGGCATGGACTTGGCCCACGACAACACAACCACCAAGACCCACCAAACCTATAGAAAAGCCCTCGGAAATATTTCTTGAATAAATGGACCCCATATTTTCCTTTCTTTTTTGCATCAAAGTTGGGCGCTCAAGAACCTCTTCCGGCCTCTCACCAGCTACCCAGAATTTGTAAAGATCGATCACCCTGTCGGCGGCGCGTTGATAAGCGGAGGCCTCCACTCCGAGCTTATTTTGGAAATTTTTGGCCTCAAACTTGCGTTAATACCAGATTAATACGTTTTGCTATTGACTTTGACAACTCAGCAACCACCTACCGTAATTCCTCCAAAATACTGAATTTGCATACATACAATTTCCCGGACTCATAGTTTCGAAAACATTTTCCGAAATCTATATTTTAGCAATACTTTTTTATTTAACAACATTATTAAAAATAATTTTAGTTAAAGTATTTTTTATCACAAAGTCAGAATTTCGAAAATTCAGCCCTGCGACGAATAGGAAAAGTCCACAAATACATGTAAAGCAATGCACATTGCTCAAAATTCTAAATTTCGACAAATTCGTTTCAAAAAGTTAAATTCCGGAAAGATCAATTTTTGAAAACTGATACTGGTTATATTCAAGAAAAATAAGGGATTTAGTTGATTTTTCTGTAATTCGCGATTGTTGAATTTCGCCCGTTCAAAACATACCGATTTTATTTAGATTAACCTCGCAAACCTGGGTGATTCTACCAACCTCACGATTTCATTGATGAATCGTCTGAAGGTTTGAAAACTTTGACAAAGTCTTTCACGATTTTAACACAATCACAAATGTACTTTTCTAAGCCGAAAATTCAGCTTCAAAACTTCGAGGGAAAGAAAAAGAGGCTGGTGACTAACACAAAAGACCTGCCGATAAGAAGCAGAGGCATAGCAAACCAAGCACCCTGGAAGATGAAAAATGGTCGTGCTTGCAAATTTTAGCAACTTTCCCTATAGCCCTGATCAAGCTCCAAGCGATTCACTTATTCCGGAAGCTAGCTATGGAATTGGAAGATAAATTTATAAGAATTCAAGAAGATTAAAACCATGGCACCGCGATTTTCCGGACCGTCAACCCAAGAAATCCTGACAGACCGGATTTACCCTCTATTCGAGAAGAAGTAAATGGCTAAAATCAATGCGGATCGGGCGACGACAAATCCTGAGCCTGAGCTATCGCTAACTTTTTCAAGTAATCTGAGGAGTCGGCAATGGCACACACCTTAAGATTCAGCGAATAACCAAGGGACCGCAAAAACCTGCCTCATATCTACAGCAAGAAAAGCGTTACAAAAACTGCAAAACTGGGCATGACGCGGAACTAGCCTGATCACCGGAGTTTTTCGGATCAAAGCGTCTCTTAGGATCTGCATGAAAGCAACGCGGAGCCCATCCAGATATGTAATCAAATTACAATACAAATGCACGATCGGAAAAGATTACCATCACTGGCACAAATATAACGACTAATATTTATCTCCGCTTCAAGGTTTGCGACAATAATTTCAAAAAGGCCCGGGCAGCCTTTAGGAAAAACTATCTTTCTCAATCTTATGTCGAACGGAAAGCCTGTAGAGGGACCCTGAGAGGAAGAATGAAGCTCCACAGAGCGAGCCATGGACCATCGAGAGCGTGTTCGAATACGCGGTACGGATCAGGAAAATCGCTGACGAATGTAGCCCGGCCACGGCTGAAGTTGAAATGCAACACGTACTCGTGGAGAGATTACGGTCATGGTTGATCCGGCAACTTCGCAATCGGACGATTTCTTAGCACTTAACTCGCATCAGCTCATGATAATGGCGAGAGAGGCCGAAATAAAAAAGAGCGCTACGCGAAGGTTTGCTACAACAATTTCAAAAAGTCCGGTCAGCCGTTAGGGAAGCCGTGGACGACTGAAACCAAATTATTTTTTTGAAGATTGACGCATGGAAAATACAATTATTTTTGGGCTGGCTAAAAACCCTTCTCAGCACGTTCCAAGATTTGTGAGATTTCTGAAGCGATGAAACGACGGAAGGGCGACGTAGCAATCATAGCCCACTTAACCGAAACTGATAGAAGCAAGCGAAGCCGACCGAGAAGTTCCCTAAAATCAGGGGAAAATCGTCAAAAGCCACTCATAATCGCCTAGTACTCAACAACCACCGAAACAGCGTGCCGAAGACTGTACAAATAAGAAAAGCGAGCTCGAGCTCAAAAGCGAATTAAGTGATCGACTCAAAAATCAGCTTTGCTGAGCCAGAAAGTGCGTATCACGACCTTGCTACCTGCCTGGCCGCGTTGGACAGTTCTGGGAATTAACAAACCACTGCAGAAAACATCCAGAAAATCTAGAAATCGAGATTACACGAGAAAAACGAAGAAGGACAGGCTACGGATAAGAATGTAAAATTCAGCCTCAAGAAATTCAAAAAATCTGAAGAGATTGAAGGAGAAGCGCCGCAACTGCGCAAAATTCAACTTCAGAAAAACGATGGAAGAAGGAGCGAATTATAATGCTAGATTTTATGAGACATTAAAAACGCCGATTCTCGCAGGAAAGCTATATAAACCCGGATTCCCCGAATTTCTGCGGATCGTTCTTTCTCCGGATTCCTAAAGGAAGTGCTCGATCTAGCCGGAATTTGAATTGGAACACCACGTGAAATACGAGAAAAGTTGGAGGCGAACAAGCTAATTATGATGCTGTAGCTTTTGAGGCATTAAAAAAACCGACTCTTGTATCAGGGCCGATTAAAGACGAAAACGCAAAACCTAACAAAAAATTTCAGTGGGATAACACCCATGAATAAATGGCACACCAACCAAAGAAATCCAGATGGATTCGAGCGCCCTACACATTTCGAGAGCCCTTGGCTGGTTCGAGATACCGCTGTGCGACAAAGAAGGGCACAAAGCCATGTTTACCACAAATTCCTATTGGGATAACCCGGAAACTGGAAGCATCCTTTTAGTCAAAAAATGCAATTTAAAATGATAAAACAAAGCATTAGCCAATTCGAAAACGAACGAGGCAACAAGCTGACCACTGTATTTTTTACGAAACAATGCCGCTTTATCAAATCGGAAAAATTCTGAAGAATAGAGAATTTCGCTTGTTCCACAGCAGATGGCTCGGACCACCAAGAAGCTACGAAAAAAGCGTTCGGAAAAACGCAAAAATCTTGAAGAATCCTGATGAAACCGGTAGAAGATAGATTGGATTAAAAATGACTACTTCTGCCTGAGGGTCAGCGCCTGGAAACCCGCCTTATACCTGGAAGAACGTTACGTTCTTAATGGAAGTCTCCAGGAATGGTGAGACACCGCAACTTATTAGAGGCCCATATACTATCGGGGAAGTGGAATCAGAAAACTTATGTGGAAAAAATAGGAAATCTTATGCAGCGTGAACAATTGAGAGAGAGGGGAGAGAGAGAGAGAGAGAGAGAGAGAGAGAGTAGAGAGACAGCGAGAGAGATAGAGAGAGACAGAGAGCGAGAGAGAGAGAGAGATAGAAAGAGAGCTAGAGAGAGAGAGAGAGGGAGTGGGAACGAGAGAGAAAAAGAGCGAGAGAGATAGTGAGATATCAAAAGGGGTACTTGTGATCCACTTGTTGACCGTATTTCCTCTAATCGAACCCAATTGGGTCCTATTTGCCATAAAACCCAAGCTTTTATGTTGTATTAGGGCTTGGTGATCAATTTTTTTCTGTTTTTTAGCAATTACAACGATTGTAGCAGTTCAAACTGCTCCTACCCATCCTGGAGAAGGGAATAAACCGAAACCTTCTTTGCATTTTTGCTTCTTCAATAAAACTTTAAAATATCGTTTGGTAGGGGAAGTTGAATACTAAAAGTTGACTAGTCGTAATCTTAGGCTTCTAAAATTTACACAAATTTTCTATACGACTTTTTTAGGTGAGGAGATGACCGGGCCGTAAATTGGAGACAGAACGAGTATCAATCGTGGAGACCAACGGAATTGTTTTGCGCCCAAGGTTGGTATATTTTTAGCTTGACTGAATTCACCGCAGGATTTTGAAATATTAAATTTGTATTACAATTCAAAGATTTTCAGAATACGTGATAAGCGCCGCGGCCATGCCGTTTTCGATGAGGTTCCAATATGCCCAAGAGCCAAAGATCAAAATATTCGAATAATAAACGAAAATCTCATAATGGCTTTTCGTAATAGCAATCAAAACAAAGCATCACTTTCCCTCTCGCTCTCTCTCTCTCTCTCTCTCCTCTCGCTTCTCACTCTCTCGCTCGCTCTCTCTCAATCTCTCTAGCCCTGTCACTTCTTTCTCGACCGTCCCCCTTTGATATTTTTTCTTTCCATCGTTAACTATAATGAAAAGGGCGTTTCTACATATGAAATCGAAGCTTTGATTATTTTTGGGGCCCCTGGAACACCTCACTCCCTACCGCCAGCTGCCCGGGAGGTAGCAAAAATGGCAGAAATCAATAGGCGGTGCCCTGGGCGAACGCCAATGCAACATTTCCTCACCGCTGTACACCCCGTTTCTTTCAGAATTTCCCGAATTCGTTGATTAAAAATCCCACGAATTTTAGCATTTGGCCACTAAAAAACTCAGCCTCGCTTATCCTCCGCTGTTCTCTTGGTCTTTCCCGTCTGTTCTCCTGTCTGTGTTCCCCCTAACTTACATGGTCTCTATAGCCGTTTCGCTAGATGTTCTGTAACCACACTATCTACCTCGGCTCGCTCTCACCCTCTCCCCCTCTACCTCTCCTCTTCTCTCTCTCCTCTCTCTCTCTCATATCGGTTTCTCTCTCTCTCTCTCTCTCTCTCTCTCTCTATCTCTTCTCTCCTCATCTCTCTCTCCTCTCTCTTTCTCTCTCTTCTCTCTCTTCTCTCTCTCTCTCTTCTCTTTCTCTCTCTTCACTCTCTCTCCCACTCTCTCTCTCTCTCCTATCTCCCTCTCACTCTCTCGCTTTTTATCTCACTGCCATCCATTACTAGTTTTTACAATTTTCATTTAGATGTTCACTCCAACTTGGTGAATTTCTACTTAAAAACCAACGATTTCCTCGGCAAATCTTTTGAGAAATTAATTACAAGATAACCTTCATTATCCTGGAAGATTTTAACAGCATAATTTGACGGACAACTTCAAGATTTATCGTAATTTCACAAAGGATCGCCTTTGCTGAGGATATTGGGCAGCGCTGGTGAGAGTATTACTCCGCACGCTATTGCCAATATTATCAAAAACGGAAGTGATCCAGCTGGAGAACATTCAACCACATGGTCTATTGATAGCACGTGAGGCCTTTCCTGCACCGGAAGTAATGAAATTATCAAGCCGTTTTTCATCCAAAACGTCAGAATAATCCCGTTTCGGCCCGATAAATCCAAGGCCTAACGCGGAGAAGAGAATCTCATCGAGTGGCTGGGAAAATGGCTTGATGAAGAAACGTCAAACCATGCATAGAAAAGATGACTATGAGGCTTCACTACCCAAATACAAGATACCCAAAGCTTCACTTCACCCGAATAACTCCCCATCCGGGAAAACCGGTGGTGCTTGCAAAAGACCGCATAATGAAGTAAGGGTATACGATATACAGATATACAGTATACGGAAACGCTAGAAATAAAACCTAAGGCTCAGACGGGCCGCGCCAAAACCAAGGCACATTGTAAGCTGATGCTCGCTTCCGGGGGAGCTCGAGCAAGCTTCTCCAAAAGGCAATACAAAGCAATTTAGTTTGAGCAAGTGGAAGATTGAGAACCGCACTTCGCCGATCACGAGCCCTCCGCAACGGCGGACCCCGGAGAGGCGGATCCGGCTTCCTAATCGAAAGATCTAAACCGGCGTAACAAAGCAAATAATCTAGAAACTATATAAGCTTCCTGGTGAGCCGAAGATTACAGCTCAAGTCGAATATGAAATCGAGCAACAGCCAGAAAGTGAAGAATTGGGGCCCGACGTCTGTTGATAATAAACATCATTTCGACGAGATGATCAAACTTGAAAGTCCTGGTGAGCATGAGAATCCGCATACAAAATAGAAAAGGAAAAAACTTCGCTAATATTTGGATGACAACCCGATGGAAAAATGAGCGGAGAAAGATAACAAAATTTGTTTGAAAATGAAGACCACGACTGAAAGGAAGCCGACCCAGTCATGGAACGAGGCGTGGAACCCATATGGGGGTGCTGATAACTTCCCGGGGCTCATACTAGGCAGAATTTTAGGGTGCTGCTCCCTGCATGGCCAGCTTTCGAGGGCACAAAACCTTGAAAGAGAAGCCGCCCAAAACCAAGGAGTTTCCGCCACTGGCAAAATTAGAAGAACAAGCCAGCGAGCTTGAATTTTTTGGAAGAAGAAGAATAAGGCCCAATTTAGAACGTCACGCGACAAAAACCTTCTGAATGGCTAGACGGTATTGCGATTTCACCTTGGTGCTCCTAGAGATTTTTGAAGAAGGGCCCAAAAATGACAAAAATTGAAGACGACTGAAGAAAATAAACGCTCATTTGCGCTTGCTAATTTTTGCGAAAATCAGAAAGTTGACAGCGAAGTGAAAGAAATTACGTTTGGCATATACGCGGTGAAAAGTTTCGCTTGTCAAAATATGGGGCTTGGGCAGCGTAACCACGGAAGAATCTTCTTATTCAATACCTCATGCTCACTAGCGAATACACAAAAACGAATCCCGAAATTAATACCTTGTCAGTGGCCAGATATTTGCTCCAAGTTTGAGGTATGGTAACGCTCCCACTACCGCCCTAATATCAGGCTTCAATCAAGAAAATACGTAAGCAAATGTGGAAATTCCAAACTAAAACCAATTCCAAACTAAACACAAAATTAATTCCAAACCTCATGCTCATTACCGAACGAATATGAAGGAACCAGCCCAGAATGTCAAAACCTTTCCAATGGGAAGAGATTTTGCTTTTGTAGGCACGTTAACCTTGCCACTACCGCCCTAATAACAGACGTAAAGTAAAATGAGGAAGAATCAGAAATTGAACCCAGCTGCAAAATGATGACAGACGCCTTGATGGAAAAAGACTGATAGGACCCACGCGACAAAAAAGTTCTGAATTACCAGACTGCTGATTCAAATCACCCTCGTGTTCCTAAAAGTTAATTGGGAGCGAAAACGAAACCAAAAAAAATCGAAGAGGACTGAAGAAAATAAACGTTCATTTGAGCCGGTTAATATTTGTGAAAATCAGAAGGTTGCCACCAAAGTCAAGGAGATCGCTTTCGGCAAATAAGCGATGAAAAGTTTCGCTTGTCAAAGATGCAGATTGGAGCGGCTTAACAACGGAAAACGGTCGACGCGGCGCGGGAAAGTCGCCACAGCGCTTCAAGGAACTGCCAATGGTTAGTTTTTATCGATTTAACAAATTTGATTTGATTTTCGTAAAGCGCCGAACACATTTTAATAATTAAAATCTCAAAGAAGTCTGGCAGAAATTTGGTATGCATAATTTGGGTTTGTACGCAAAGTAGAATGCTGCAAAAATTGCGGCATAAAATTTGTCTCGGAACCGTACGCGTGGAAACATTTAAGATCTTTCTCAAGCTACGAAACGTTTAGAAAACCCTACGAAGAGCGGTTTAAACCTTAAAAACCAAAAATAGCGATAGGAATTTTTAGCTTATATTTGTAAAAGCTGGGGCTTATCGGCTAAACGCGCTTAAGAATCTTGCTTGTTTGTAGCCGAAAAAATAAAAAAACCTTCATTAATCAGCGCCAAAGCCCGTATTTTTCCAGAGACAACCGCTACGTGTGGTTGGCACTACAAGACGGGAGCTGGCTACGAGTACGGCTATGATTACTAGATGGGAGACCAAAGACCGTGGTAACCTAACCTCAGTCCCAGCGTTTCATAGCCGTTTTTTAGTACGAAATTCTGCAGGCAGCGAGAAGACAGACGAGAAGATTGTTGGCTTGCATTCCGAATGGATGGTAAGCGATGCGATAAATGTGAATTGGTATCATACGTCGAAAAAATCATAATGCCCAAAGCTATAATACCCGAAATGAATGTCGAAGCATAATGTCGAAATAATATAATGTCGAAATTCCCCGTAATGTCGAAATTTAATCGTCGAAATCATAACCGAAATAGTCATAATGTCGAAATTCTCATAATGTCGAAATTCTTGCAAATGCATACCGGTGAAAACCGCCAAATCCTAGCCAAAAAAATTTTTTCCACATTCATTTTTTTTATCTTATTTCACGACAACATTTTTTGCCTAGAATTTTTTTTACTGGAAATTTTAGCTTATGTAAATTTCGACATTCTGACATTTCGACATTATGACATTTCGACATTATGAAATTTCGACATTGTCAGACATTCTGACATTATGAAATTTCGACATTATGAAATTTCGACATTATGAAATTTCGACATTATGAATTTCGACATTATGAGTTTCGACATTATGAATTTCGACATTTTGAAAATAAGCCGATAAATGTATATAGATAAATAATAACGCCCTTTAAGAAATTAGGTGCTAGGTGCTAGCAATTTTTTTAATTGGGGCTAGACTCGTAAAATATATACTTTGATAAAATTTTTAGTCGTTTACTGTCATTAAAACACTAGGAAACTGATTAGAACATCGGTTCTTTAGGATTTCGGGGGAAGGATTTCCGGGGACCAAATTTTTTCCTGGTTGTCCCGGTTGACCTAGTAATCAAATATAAAGCGTTTTCACATTGTTTTTAGTAAATTTTAACGATATTTAAAGTTGAAAAAGCTTCCAAAAAAGTCAGAAAAATGTTTGAAAAAGTCGAAAATTTAGTCATAATCCTAAAGGTTCTATAGGATTTTTCGACCTAAAATCAAATTTTTTAATTAAAATGTGGGTAGTTTTTATGTTCAGGAATAATTAAAAACCATTTAGAAACGCATGCGCTATTTATAAAAAAAATTAGGCTTGTGCCGAAAAAATTTGGTTTCCCCCGCCCCGGAAATCTCCCCCCCGCCCCCGGAAATCCTAAAGAACCTGTCGCTTTATTGCTAACGACTCTAAAGGTCGGTTAGAATCGAATCCACGAATTCTTCTTTTTTAGAAAGCCATCATCGTGCGCACATCTTCGAATTACGAAGCGAGTAGCGTGAGCAGGCACCAAAAGACGGAAGGCAAAAGAGAAAGCTCTCTACATATCATTCTGTGTTTTTTTTGTAATAAAAGCTATTGAAAACATTGTTGTCCGCGCCAATCCAGGAATAAAAAATGCAAACAAAACGATTCGCAACAATTTCTCTAAACGTTCCATGATCGGGTAGAAACGGTCATCGTTCTAAGCCGTTCTAAGAAGCCCTTTAAATAAGATTGTACCGTGCAAATCTTGCCATTTTCGAAGGCTTTTCCTGCCTGTCACCTCTCAATCCTAGGAACGCCGTTCGGTCTGCCAAAAAAAAGCCACAGACAGAATCGATAGGCCACGCCACCGACGGCGCAAATGCAACATTGCCCTGTCATTTCTTTGATATGCAGCGTGGGCGTTTTCACGTTTGTTTTTATTAGCTTTTCTGAGCATATTTTGCAGCTTCTTCATTTCACGTTGACGCTTGCTTTATTTCCGTTACCGTTTCAAAAACCTTCAAAAACTTATGAGAAAGCAGGCTCTTCCAAGTTCGAGAAAGCTCTTCCAAATAACCATAGATTTTTCGCTCACAAACCTCTTGGATTTCAGCTGATCTTTCTTTTTATGAATTTCAATTTTTGAATGGGTACGTTCATTTTTCGGCCATTTTGAATCGATTTTAAAATCTAAAATACTTTCAAAATTTGAAGATTTAAAAAATGAAAAAGCCGATCAGCTCAAGTTTTAAAACCATTCCATGGATTAAGCATTTTCATTTGTCGTTTTTTGTTCGTTTGTTGAACGAAAAATATCTGATTTTTGGTTTAGGTTAACCCTTCGATCTCGGGCAGTTCTACCACGATTTTTGCACGATTTCATTCGATCAATCGTCAAAATATTCAAAATTTTACACAATATTTGGAAGACTTATTGTGAAAGGCAAATTTCGGCAAGCGACAAAATGTCAGGAGCCCGAAAACGCACATGAGAGCAAGATCAGAAAAAGGAGACTCTGTTGTAACATGCAGAATTTGCCTTGTTCTCGAAAGGCTATCATAAAAGTATTAGGCTACAGCTTACAAACTGTCAAAAGATTTACATCGTCAGCTGAGCCCCCGGGCTGCCGTAAAACACTGCAAAATGCATTAAAAATTGCGAGACGGTGAAAACACCCTAGGCCAGCTTCTCTAACTGCGGATCAGGCCAAATTCGCCGTGTAATTCGATCAAATCAATCCCCGCGTTCAGGACCAATATGGAAAAAAAGAAAAATTATCATCATTCCGCAGCACGATGACTTGAAAAAACTGTGGTCCGAATCTCAGAGAAATTCTCTCCAAATGACAGCGGAAAAGACCGAAGAAGGTCGTATTTGAAGCGGATCATCGGAGGAATGATCCAGCTAGTGTTCTTGTGACGATCGACGTAATCTATCCGGCAAAGAACTAGCACTGACCAAGAACGGGGAAGAAGCAAAAATATCGTCCCGATGCGGCCAAGGCGATAACTTGATAAAGCTGAAGTCGGAATCTCAGCGAAATCCCCTTAAAATGACCGCAAAAGAAAACGAAAAAAAGTCGAAGTTGAGGCGAATCATCGGCGGCATGGTGGAGAAGGTCTTCTTGTAAAAATTTAAATATAAACAACTCTAAAAAATGCGAGCCGAAAATCTACAGTACTGAGCATCAAGGTCGTCAGATGGTGACGTCAGCTTGTTAAGGACAATCCGTACAATAGAATCGAAAATTTGGATGCAAGTGAAAATGCTGAGTTGCTTTTTCAAAAGGATTTGCAAACGTTTTGTATATGCTATCGGAATAATCTAAGTTTGCGAAGCAAGCTCTCTACCCGAGAACAAGTGAAGAACATCAACTGAAAACGGCAACCCGGCACACCTATGCGACAGCGCAGTGAGTCGAATCTTGAGGTGATAGTGCCGAAAAAGCGACAGCTTTTCTATTAAATCAAGAAGTTTCGGAAGGATACAAGATCGTAAGGACACGGTAACACAGTTGCCGACGCAACTGCGTTCGAAAGGACCCGGGCCGCGCTTCATCGTAGAGAACAATCGGGATTACATGTTTTGCATACAGTTTTGTAATTTTCGATGCCTCCCGATATGGCCTATTCACAACAGCTGAAAATGAGCGCAAAAACAACAATGCCCGGTGGGGCATCCACGAGCGTAAATGGCAGCAAAACTGAGGCAATAGCTTCCGACAGCGTTGCGTCAATGCCGTCAAGCGCACCGCAACGTAGCTTCGTTCCAGCTTGAGGCTAACTATAAAGTTGAAGCCAAGCGTCCGTTCGGTCCCTTGATTCAGGCTACAGCCCAAAATTAAAATTTATATATTCATTTATACGTTCTCGTCACGGCGAAAAATCCCGGATATACGGGGGTAATGGCCGTCAATATCGGCTGTTTACAAGCTAGCACCAGAACTTAACCCGCCGATCTCAAGCCAAAATCGTAAGCAGCGAATCAGGCAGTGGATAATTTGAATCGAATTTCAATATTCCTGCCGGCCACACCACTGCAGGATCAAAAAAGAATAAAAAATTAGATGATCAGAAGAAGCGGCGCTCTTCGCCTCTCTAACGTAAGATCAGGAATGAAATTGGATACAGGCGTCGGTCACGGACCAGCGAGCGGTAGGGCAAAGAATTCCAAGCTGACCTTCATCAGTTAGCTTATGGCTGAGAAAAGCACGATGACAGGTGGTCGCTAGGGCCCAATCACAATAGCGCAGCGACCGCCAGAAAAAAAGCTGGAATCCGCACCGAAATAATGTCGGAAACTGAAGGCAAAATTCGAGGTCAAAACCAGCTTCCGACATATCGTAAACATCAAGTTCCGATTAGTGGATAATTTCAATACAATTTTAATACTTCTTCATGGAATACTTACCCACGATCAAAAACAGAAGAATACATAAAAGTAGATGATCAGAAGAAGCGGTACTGAAAAGCTGCATCTTCAAAATCAGGAATCAATTTGGACCCAAGGACCAGCGATGAAGGAAGAAGAAAAAAGAGCGAGAGAGAGTGAGAGAGAGAGAGAGAGAGAGAGAGAGAGAGAGAAGCCATGATTAAGAACAATAAGATTGAGAAAAATATGGATAAGAACAAAAATGCCAGGCCCCGCGGGACAGTGTTTGGGCCTCAATCAACTCGTTCCTCTCACATTTACTTAAAACGACGTTAATGCGGACAACTAAAGTACAGGTTCATTCGAGAAATTTGAGATTGAGATGCCTGATTGAGCACAGAAGATCCCTGATTCGCACCATCTACCAAAGTGGGTTACGATGCGATACGATGCGGGTGAAAACGCCCAAAAATCTTCGGATCACTATATTCACGACTTAATTGATTCGCTTAGGGCCTTAGCCTACGCTCAAAAGCTATTTCGTGAACTCGCGATAAAACGGTAGCCAACCACGCTTTCGCGAAAATGAACAAAAAGTCAAAAAGTCCAGCAGCCCGACTAGATAAATTGGAAACACCTAAACCCAAAGCCAAAGAAAATGTGAAAGACGCCGTGAGACCTCGAAAATTTGCGAATGAGGTGCCTGATTGAGTAAAGAAGGTCCTTGCTTGGAAGCATCCAGCGACGGACGTTACGATCCGGGGCAAAACTACCAAAAAGCTCGGGTTCGCTAGCTTTCCGACTTTATCGAGCCGATTAAAGCCATTAGCGCAAGTTCACGAACCCATTTCGTGAATTCATGAAAACGGCAGTCAGGTCCGCAAAGCAGAGCAGAAGCCCGACTAACAAATTGCATGAGCGCAAAGAAAATCAACAAAGAATCTGATTTTGAAAGACACCGCGAAGCGTCTAAAATTTGTGGAGAAGATGCCTAATCCATTGATGACGTTTTGCGATGTTTTTCCCGTCCTAAATGCAGTGGTCGAATCGAAGAAGCTGAGCAATGACTAGGTATGTTCACGTTAGATTTAAATGACCAAAAAAAATTAGGTTCAAACGGCCCTTTTTAAAGTGTAAATGGCGCAATTAATGGCTGATGGTTTGGATATTTTAGCCTATCGATATGCAACCGTGGGCGTAAAAAATCCAGTAGAATTCGTACCGGAAATTCATAGAATCCTTTAAAAAGGGCCTCAAATGTCAGAATCGCTTGGGTGTCGTTACCTAGCCAATATAAGGGTATTTCCTTGCACCCAGAGCCCATTAATGCATCCAAAATCTAGTATATCATAACCATATCAAATAATCATTAAAAAGACAATGCATGGCCATTCAATAATTCATTTTCTGGATCGATATTTTAGTCAAGCCGGCTGCGACCACGCGATAAACAGCTTTTATGGAATTTTTAATTTTGATGGTGCCATTCCAACATTATCTATCCGTGAGTATTTTTTTAAGTTCCAAGTCTTAAATATTTTTTCATAACCCAAACCAACGCAAACTAGGCTTTCCAGGACCATATTCCTTCACCAGATATTTGAGGAGAGGAATTAAATCGCGCAATGGATTTGTTGTCTGTACGGAAAGGTCGAGGTATCTTTGGTTTAAAGGGACGGGAGCCGTCTCCCTTGGAAGCAGAATTTTCTATGCAAAAACCAAATCTTCAAAGTTAAATTTAATTTACTGCGATTTTTGACGTTTCATGCTTGGAAACCTCCAAAACATCAATCCAACCGCACAAAAGTTTCGAAAACTAACTATTTTTGACGGACTTTTGGTTTAAATTTGGCCTTTTCTAATCTTTATTTTTCCGCCTGCGGACTTTTTGGCAGTAACGAATTTTTCGGAGTCTTCAAAAATTCACAACGATTTTTCAAAACTATTTTTCAAAATGTTGCGATTTCGGGATAATCCTTTTCAGACATCTACAGCCCACGACACCTGCTAGATCGTCGAAATCCGTCGATCCGAGATTGACTGAGACCGTCTCATCAACTACCCCGTCGGGCGACGACACGAGGATCTTTGGATTCGTTTTGGACATTCTTTTAATAAAGATAGCGTTACGAAATGCTGTGGACTTGACAAAGCACATCTACCGGTGTCCCAAAAAAGCGACCCTCTCTAGCGGACTGCAGTCATGCCTGATTTTGATCACGATCTGGCCTTTTTTCGGACAGCTAGGGGGTGGGGGATCGATGTTTTTTGGGACACCCTATATTTTTATTTATTTTGGATATATTGGAGCATTTTTTATTTATATTGGCCATATTTTTAGATCATCATGCGCAACCAAGATTCGCAGGTGTTGCAAAACCGTGTCAGAACCCACCCATGCACGATCTCAAGGAGCTGGAAAATCTTCTGGTTTTAACGCTCAACAAATTCATTGGAACATGCGAAAAAGCACTCACAATCAAACCTACATAAACAACCCTTCGTTTTGCCTATCATATGCTCGTTCGAAATTAGAGCCTTTCAAAAAGCCATCACCGTCTGTTGTCGTTTGTAAGCTCTTGCAAAGAACTCTTCCGTTAAGGATGAACGTGAAAATCCCGGTCTCGAAGAACGCTTTCCCTCTCCGTCACCTCTTAATCTTGGGAACGCCGTTCGGTCAGCCAAAAAAAGCCACCGACAGAATCGATAGGCCACGCCACCGACGGCGCAAATGCAACATTGCCCTGTCATTTCTTTGATATGCAGTTTGGGCGTTTTCACGTTTGTTTCTATTAGCCTTTTCTGACCATTTGTCTTGTGGTTTATTTTTAGTTTCTTTCCCTCGATTCTAAGACTCCCGCGGGCAACTCAAAAACCTTTAAAAACTTCTGAGAAAGCGGGATTAACCAACAATTGTGTTTATATTTTTCTTGCAGCCAAAATTCATTTTCATCAGCTCTTCCCATTCCTGAATTTTTGTGCTCTTTGAATTTTTGTATGTGTCCATTTTTGAACCAAATTGAATCGATTTTATAATTTAAATTTTTTTAAAGAGGTAAGGACTTTAAAAAGATGAAAAAGCCAATCAGTCAGAAACTGAAAGCTCTACGATATTTTTCCCTTTTGCCATTCTTGTCCGTCTGTTAATCAAAATTCACCTAATTTAAAAGGATTTTGTTTAGGTCAACGCCTCAATCTCGGGAAGTTCTACCAAGATTTCCACGATTTCATTCAATGACTCGTCAAAATATACGTAATTTTTATAATTTTTTTGAAGACGTAATATGCCGTTTCAATTTTGACAAGGCAAAATTGTCTGCTGCACAAAAACGCATACCAAGAAAAATGAGAAACCCAGTGGAATTGAATTTGGTTGAAGATCTGATCTAATCAAGCTCTTCTCTCTCTTGTTGCTTCACTTACCCTTAGTTGCTTCACTTACAATTTGTAAAACAAGAAAATTATCAAGCGGCTGCAAGGCGAGCTGTACTCTACATCTCATCTCACCTCAAAATGAAGCAGAAAGAGGACGAAGAAGGTCAAAGCTCAACCAAATCATCGGCGGAATAGTAGAAAAGATGCTCTTGTGAAAATTGGAATTTTCTATAATGCCACAAATCTTGTAAAGCGCAAATCGACGAATATGAGCAGTAGTTTGTTTGCTCCAGCTGATTGATTGCGAAATCGTGACGTAGCGGTACAGAGCGGATACATCCGAGTTTCATACGCTCTGGGATCATCTGCTTTTGCGAAGCATCCCCGATTACTAAGAGAATGAAGACTCGAAGAAGGGAAAACGGTGACGTGATGTAAACCCAAGACGCGAATCCGCCTCAAAACCTGCAGTGGTTGTGCCAAAAAGGGCGGAAGTGTTTGTTAAAGTGTCCAACTACAAACCCTACCAAGAAGAATGCAAGAACGTGAGGATACCGTAAAATTCGGTGACGTAAGATAGAATAAAAGGGTCTGTTAACGCTAGACCTTAAAAACGTTAATGCTCGCATGCAATGGATTAAATCGGAATTGAATGATTTGCATCGAGTTTTTCGGCGTTTGACTTGTCCGTAACGTGCCGAAATAAGAATACAATCAGTGCAGAATTTTAACAAGCTTGCTACACAACTTCCTGGATAATCTGTTCACCGGCGAAAAAAGAATAAGAAGCACTTTCTGCAAATTTGGAACCGGAAATTGGGCTCGAGACTGGCCGGGGCCCCCGAGATTTCGGGCCAAAAATTTTGAGCTCAAAGGCTAACTTACAAGGTTAACTCATGACGTATCAAAGCAAAACTACGGAGGACCAGCGCAGCTATGTCCCAAACACAATAACGGAGCAAAGGCCAAAAAAGAGATTGGCAGTCCCGCCGAAATCATGTGAAAAGTGAAGTGAAAATTCGAAGTAAAAAAGAGCATCGGATGGATGGCGGATGTCAAGTTCTTGTATAGATTAAATTAATTGAACCTGCGGGCATGCGTGGGATTCGAATACAAAACCGGCCTCATGTGGGCATCCAAGAGTATAAATGACAGCGAGACATGACGCACATAAGCGATCCAGCGCTGTGACAAAGGAAACACGCCGAAAAACCTCATAGCTTATACGCAAAATTTTAGTAAAAAAATTAGATTTGCCGCCAATTCTACGCACTATTCACGGCGGAGGATACCGGAAATATCGGGCAGTGGCTGTCAAAATCTAATGTCTGCAGCCTTGAGTTGGATCGCTTGACCAACATCAAAATAAAAGCATGAAAGCAGATGCTTAGAAAAAGTGAATGAAGTTGCTCGAAGAGATTAGCAAGTTTAGAGGCAGTGTAGAATATGAGTGCATTTTGAATGCAACTTCATGGAGCACATCTTTACCTTCCAAAAAAGGAGAATCAGGGTAGATGCCTAGAAAAAGTAGCCCTCTCTTTTCGTTTGAAATTGGAAATTGGACCCAGCGAAATCTCTGGGAAAAGACAAGCCAAGAGGATGCGAAAAGCGTCTTCTGACGTATGGTATACATCAAGTCCTTAGATAGATTAAATTAGTGGAACCTGCGGGCTACACATCAAAACCTGCCTGGTGGTGTGAACAACAGCAGCGGGCACAACCTGAGCCAAAATTCGACGTGCTGAAATCAAATCCAAACGCACAAATTCTACCGGTATTGGCCAAATTTGAAGACATTTTCGGAATTATCTATGCTTATCGCGTCGCGCCCGAGGTCAGAAAAATAAGAATAAGAATAAAGCTCAAGTCGCCAGATTTACGGCCTAATGCAGCGATGGAGAGGCATTTCCTCAAGTTCAAGAAATCGTATCGAAATTGGTGAAAAAACGGCTGCAAGGTCCGCGAACGTCCAGTTCGAAAAAAATTCAAGCAGAGAAGAAGCCCAATTTTGTAAATTGCAATAACTCAAAGGCAAAGCCACAGAAAATATACTTCTGGAAGACGTCCGAAGTGATGCGGGATTGCGTTGAGTTATGAGGTCGGAAATGGTGATGTTAATTCTTGAAGATGGCACGCAAGGTATGCTAGGTATGTCAAAGCCAAAATTATATTATTAAAAATATAGCGCTTTAAAAGATGTGAGCGGCATAAACCGTTACTGTTTTTTCGATATCCTAACCAATGGATCAGCTGCCGCAACACGCAACGCAAGGCGCGCGTTTCCTTTTAATTGCATAATGCATTGGCAGCTACGCCGAACCAAGCGGCGCGTTGCGTGTAGCGGAGCCGTAAAAATCGGAAATCGGAGATTTTGAGTAAACAAAAGCCACAGCTAGCCCTTTCCTTTAAAAAGAAACTGAAATAGCAGAATCACTAAAAATTTTGGCTCTGGCCTGCTGCAGTACGATCGACAATTTGTTTGGAACTTTGAATTTTAATGGTATCGATCCAACTTCTCCAACGTCCCGGTCTACCAGAAAAAATGTAAAAAGGAAAATTCCACATTGCAATGACCAGCGCGCACATAAGTAAAAATTTTCGCTTTTTTCTTTATCGAAATATCGATTAATCTTCAACGATCAACACTCGTTTTACAGGGAAACTTGACAAATCCAAGATGACGCAGAAGACTTCCTCTGTCCGGACAGTAGCCGCACCAGTTAAAACACAAGGTATCCCTGTTTTTGAGAAGCTTAAAAGAACCCGAAGGTGCCAGAATCAACCCCTTCAGCTCACTAGGTCTCGACAGCTACGAATTACGACAAAATAAATTTATTTTTATAACTTAAAAATGCTTTTAGCGATCGAAAAATTATCACATTTTTTGAAAATCTCGGCGTCGCACGCCGCTGTGAAGACCTGGGAAACCCTAGGAGTAGATTTTGAAGTTTTAATAGAGTATAAAATAACTTTCGCGAATGTAATTATACTTACTTTTTATTTCAGAGAGTACGGTCTGATGTCAATGATACGCGGATTTCAGAAAATTGAAGTTGTGGATCCCGATCTGTTGCATGACCTTTTTAGTATAAAGCCACAATCGCACACGAAGTTTTTTGCAATATGGGAATAAATTATTATTCTACGGATAGATTACACACAATAAACTTGATTAAAAATTCATTTTTAAGGCATTTAAGACGTAAGAAAGTATTTATTCATAACCAGTGTTAATAGATATGTTAATAGGTGGAAAATGAGTCATTTAATGGTTTGATTTTGATCTGGAGTTGTTTAAACTATAGTAGATTTTTGAGGATATGAGCATAAAAAATTTAGGGCCTGCTAAATGTTTTTTTACGTACTAACTAGGGAGGTATCTGAACTCGGCATCGAACTTTATGAAGTCAGATACACCATTCGATGCGCCTTGTCGAGGGGATTCCAAATATGTAATAAAATCAACCAGAGCCTATAACGATAAAAAGTTATGAGCATTTTAAGGTTTGCAGCGAAAACCACCGCGGCGATATGAGCCCCTCCCAGCGCACCCTGTTCATCGGCCCCCGTGGCCTAGTGGTGTGCGCATGGGTCTCCGGTCTGTACGACCAGGGTTCGGATCCATTCACGATTTTTATTTTTTGCTTTTTGACCAATTCCTA